TGTTGTTGTTGTTGTTGTTGTTGTTGTTGTTGTTGTTGTTGTTGTTGCTGCTGCTGTTGCTGCTGCTGCTGCTGCTGCTGTTAATGAACAACTATCAACCAATCTCTAAACTGTATTTTAGCCAAGGTTCTATAAAAACTGATAAGCTCTCAAATCAAGAAGTATTTGGACTCATTTAACATCTTACCTCCACATCAGTCTGGTTTCAGGAAACAACACAGCACAACCACTGCTTCACTGAAGGTTCTTAATGATGTTGTTGAAGCACTGGATGCTAAGGATTATTGTGCTGCACTTTTCTTAGACCTGTCTAAAGTTTTGACACTGGATCATGACATCTTGGGTCATTAGCTCTCAGAAGTTGGCAACAAAGTTCATGCTCAATCATCCAGGTGTCAAATCCAATAATTCTCAGATCATCTGCACAGTTACATTTTATTATTATATTATATATGATTGATCATGAACTGTGTTGCTTTGAACCACTTTGGCTGTGGCTGCCTGCCTGGGAGGAGTCGACGGGGGACAGGACGGCCCCCAGAAACCATCTTAGCTCCAGAAAAGTGGTTGGTCCACTTGAGAATTTTACTGCTTGGTGGGGAAACAGTTCACTGGAACTCTTCAGACTGATGAAGTCCTCCGGATAGAAGGCGAAACGTCTCTATAAAAAAGAAACTGTCCAGATGACCCAACTGGGAATTATTGGACTCTCAGAAGTTGGTTTCTCAGGTCACACCATTGGTTGGTTCTCTATCTTTCAGATCGAAGGCAATGTGTTCAACATACTGGTACTTCTTCCAGTTGTTTAGGGCGACTGTGGCTGAGTGGTTAGAGCAGGCGTCCTCCAATGCAAGAGTTGGGAGTTTGAATCCACCAGCAGTCACATGCCGAGGTGTCCCTGGGCAAGACTCTGAACCCCTCATAGTCTCTGGTTCTGAATGTGATAAAGCTCTGATTAGTCTCTTTAGAATGATTTGTTCAATTTGCTTTGTATAGATCTAGTATAGAGCTGTATGAATGGGTAAATGAGGCACAGATTGTAGTAAAGAGCTTTGAGTATCTGGATAAGATAGAAAGGTGATATACAAGTACAGTTCATTACAGTCCTCTATAAATGGTAAAGGGACTGTACTTATATAGCACCTTTCTATCTTATTAAGACACTCAAAGCTCTTTACAACAATCTGTGCCTCATTTACCCATTCAAACAGCTCTATACTAGATCTATACAAAGCAAATTGAACAATTCATTCTAAAGAGACTAATCAGAGCTTTAGTTCACATTCATACACTGATGGGACACACATCAGAGGCAGTGAGGGGTTCAGTATCTTGCCCAGGGACACTTCAGCATGTGACTGCTGGTGGATTCGAACCCCCAACTCTTGAATTGGAGGACGACTGCTCTAACCACTCAGCCACAGTCGTCCTATAACTGTGTCAAGAGTCTTGGTGTGATACCAATGAGACAAAACAAATGAAGGACAGGTCCAAGTTCTTCAGGTATTCAACCTCCTGACCATTTTCAAGTCAAATCAACTTCTTTGTGGAGTACAACATTACAAATATCTTGGTTTCATCTTTTTATTTTCAAGGTCTAATTTCCTTTCTTGTTTTTATGTTTCTCTTCTGTCACTTGGTTGTTTTGTCTGTCCAAACGAAGATCGGGTTCTCAGATAAAAAGCGACAACGTGCAGAACACACAGTCAGCACTGCCTCTGAAGTAACCGTTGAAAGCAGCCTTGATATTTCAGAAGTGTTGCACAGTGTTGGTAGCTGTGAGAACAGACCTCGGCACAGAGGATGGGACAATGGCAGCAATACAGTGGACCCTCCGTGATGAGCATACAGACTCTTATCCTGGCTCATTCTTCTACAGTAATTGTGTTCTTTTTCATTTGTAAACCTCAGGGTCACGTAATCATTCCCTTTGAACAGTCACGCTCTGTTCTCTTCGTACGTGGATGGTATGACACAACGCTAACGTCTGTTTCCATGCAGCTAATGAAAAAACGGAGGGATGATTTGAATTTAACTCCAGTGGCTCCCATTTGTTTTGATCTCTGGTGAGATGTTTCTACACCCTGACAGGACTTGATTTGGAAACAGAACTCTATAAAAGGCCTCCAAGGTGACAAAACCAAAGCATGAGGTCTAAGAGCTTCCTGCAGAGCTCAGAGGCATTGAGCATCTATGAGTGAATGGAGGACGACGGCTGACACTGTCTCCTCACTTTACTACACTCATTAAAGCAGCTGACCAGTTCACTGACCAGCAACAACTTGATCAATGTATTCACCCTCTGATAAGAAGAACTCAGTCATTGGAGTTAAATCCATTAATTACAGGGAACTCTATACCAGAACAAATGAATATTCACAGAATATTCTGAATATCAGCACCTCCAAATTGGAGGTCATGGTCCTCAGTTGGAGAAGGGTGGATCGCTCTGTTCAGGTCGAGGGTGAGGTTCTGCCTCAAGAGGAGGAGCTCAAGTATCTCTGGGTTTTGTTCACGAGTGAGGGAAGAATGGGCCGTGAGACTGACAGACAGATTGGTGCAGCGTCTGCAGTATTGTGGACTCTGTGCCGGTCCATTGTGGTGAAGAGAGAGCTGAGCTGGAAGGCAAAGCTCTCTGTTTACTGGTCAGTCTCTGTTCCTACCCTCTCCTCTGGTCATGAGCTCTGGGTAGTGACTGAAAGAACGAGATTGTGGATACAGGAGGTTGAAATGAGTTTCCTCTGCAGGGTAGCTGGACTCTCTCGAGTAGAACCGCTGCTCCTCCACATCCAGAGGAATCAGTTGAGGTGGTTCAGGCATCTGGTAAGGATGCTTCCTGGCCTGGGCACCTCCCCAGGGAGGTGCTTCAGGCATGTCTGACTGGGAGGAGAACCCGGGGAAGACCCAGGACACGCTGGAGAGACTATGTCTTTTGGATGACCTGGGAACTTCTTGAAGTCCTCCCAGAAGAGCTGGAAGAGGTGGCTGTGGAAAGAGATGTCTGGACCTCCCTGCTCCAGATGCTGCCCCTGAGACCTGACTAGTGGAAGATGGTGGATGGCTGGATGGATGCATGGATGCATGGATGGAAGGATGGATATTCACCCCAAAAGAGAAGACCAAATTTGTCTTTGAAGTTGTTTTACAAAAATAAATAATTAAAATAGAAAAATGAACAAAATCCAAGAGTCGTTGAAGGAAACGTCAGTGATTGTCGGACAAACACTTTCTTATTTAACCTCTGTCGTGTTTTGTTGGGAACGAAAATACTCAGTTAAACATTTGGTTATCTTCTACTCCAGGGCTATTCAACTGGTGGCCCGGGGACCAAATCAGGCCCACCTAAGAACTCAGTTCGGCCCACAGTGGGTTCATTTTGAAATAAAATTAGATTTTAAACCATTAAACAAACTTACTGAATGACAATAGGTGCTGGATGTCCAGCCCCTGAGCTCTTGGCTTTCAGTAACTGTGGCCCCCTGAACAATTTAGTTGAATATCCCTGTTCTACTCCGATATGCTAACAGGAGGGTACAACCTGGTTTTGGTCTGATTAGACTCTGAACCTTTGTGAGTTCTTTTAGACCAGGACTGTCAAACCCACTTACAAAAGGGGGCCAAAATTAAAACCTTTTCAAACTAAGGGCCAATTTCAGAAACTGCATTAACTCAAATCAGATACCCAACATATTTTCTTGGTCACATGTTCCTCAACAAGAGTTTGATTGGTCTCATTTGATATTCTCTTTCTGCTTTCAACATCACAATCAAAGATTACTGAAAAAAATTTAAGACATAGAAGTATTTTATGTTTCACATATCATCTTGGGGGCCAGATAAGATGTCAATGAAGGCCACATTTGGCCCCCAGGCCTTGAGTTTGACACGTATGTTTTAGACACTTCAAACCCAGACAGAAGTTTACAGCATGCCTCAGATTATTCACAAGTAGCCTATAGTTTCCTGCTTTTTGGTCAAATACTGATGTGAACGGGTTCACAATTGATGGGAAGCAGCATTAGCTTGTAGCATGCTAACAGCTAATGACATGGTCTTTGATGCTTGGAAAATGTTGCAAAACTCACTCATGACTCATAACTCACAGCAGATTATCAAAACATCTGGATTAATCGCAGCGTGGATTCATAGCCAACTTTGAAAAACTCATAAGTGAACATCCATCCATCCATCCATCCATCCATCATCTTTACCCACTTCCTCCTTTTCGGGTCACGGGGATCACTGATGACCATGTCCAGCAGTCCCTGTTTGAGAGGCAAGGGACACCCTAGACAGGCCCCCAGTCCATCACAGGGACACATAGAGACAAACGAGACAAACAACCATTCACTCTCTCACCTAGAGACAATTTAGAGTTACCAATCAGTCTAACATGCATGTTTTTGGTCTGTGGGAGGAAACTGGAGTACCCGGAGAAAACCACGCATGCACAGAGAGAACATGCAAACTGCACCCAGAATGTCCCCTGGCCAGGATTTGATCCAGCAACCTTCTTGCTGAGAGACAACAGCTCTACCCACTGAGCCACCATACCGCCCATAAGTAAACAGAATCACAATAATCCATCTATCTTGGAGCTAAGTGTGACCATATCACAGTCAGACCTGAACAGCAGTGATGTCATCAACTGTTCAGTGAAAGGACTCGTTGGTCAAAGGACACAGCGCTCAGAGGAACCTTCAGTGCAGCCGAGTCATTCGTAGTCTTCCTCAGATCTGAGGAAGACTACGAACTGTTCAGCTGCACTGAAGGTTGCTCTGAGCTCAGAGGTGGAAGAAGTCTGGTACAACCAGGACTCCTCATTCAACCTGAACCTCCTCCACCTGAACACACAGCAATCGAGGGAGAAGGTCCTCAGTGAGAGAGGAGATCTAGAACCTGACGGTCCCTCTGAGCTGCAGAGACCCTGTGTGGAGCAGAGACTACTGGCCTGCAAGGACCGCAGACCTCAACTGATCTGAGCTTCTGACACATGAAGGCAACTTGGAGGATTTTCAGACCGTGAAGCTTCTCTGATGAAACCAGCACAGTGAAGCACGGTGGTGGCAGCATCATGCATCAGACAGGATGTGGAGATAAATATTCTCAACATAAACCTGATCCACAGCACTCAGAACCTCGAGCTGCACCAAAGGTTCACGTCTCAACAGGACAATGAGCCGAAGCACACAGAGGACAACTCTGAGAATGTCCTCACGTGGACAGGCAGAGCCCTGACCAGAACCCTCAAACACCTCTGAAGACGCTCTGCAGTAACTTCATGTTTTCCTGTCGTGTCCTGAAATGAATCTATGACCAAATGTGTGAGTTTAAATCAAAACAGTTCCTGCCAGACATTGTCCAACCTGAAGCTCCTGCAGCTTCAGCCCAGCTGGAGATCCAGCTCAGTGTTTGGGCTCATCACAGAGTTTTTGTTCGACATTGATCAGTGCTCTTACGCTGTCAGCGCCTGCTGGATGGGATCCAGGTTCTCCAGGTAGTTGAAGCGGACTGTGTCTTTGGGATGTTTGTCAGAGCCTCTCCAGGGTGGTGGTGCGTTCACTGGCTTTTCCTTTTTTAATCTGGACCCGGACCTAGTTCTGGGGGGCTGGGTGGCAGAAGCTGGACGCTCCTCGTTAATGTGGACCGATCTTTGTGGCTCTGCGTGATCGCTGCTCACAGCTGGACCTTCAGGAACCTTCAACGGTGGCTGTATCAGAAGAAACAAGAAGCAGATCCTTCATACTGCAGCCCCGAAACAAAACTGACAAAGTCAAGCACCAGAAGAAGGAAAGGTCTGATATGAGCCTAGCTTGGTACCACTGCAGACCAGCGATGGTTTGTTCTGTTTGTAAGAGGCGAGTCCACACTGAGCTCCAGAGGGCATCAGTGATGTTCTGACCCGGACTGAAAGAAGATACTGTGCTCACCAACACAACGGTTGATGATGCTGGTGTCTCCACTGCTCCCTGCCGGTTGATTTCATTAACCAGTCAGAGAGCGGGTGTCGTCCAGCCACGCAGCAGAGCAGCCAAATCAAACCAGATTTAACCCTGACCCCTGTGAGCTTCTCTAGTTTGATCTGCTTCTATACTCACAACCTTTAAGGAACACTTTATTTCCACCATCTGGGTGTTTCCCTTGTTTTCTGCTCAGCGTGACGTCACCCTCCTCCAGCTCTGCTGTGTTAGACATTCAAGAAGAACCCGACGCTCTACTGACCTGCTGCAGGTGGATCTGCAGCTCCTGGACACTCTGAATGTACAGTCTCTTCCAGACGCCCTGCTCAAACGGCGAGGGGGAGGAGCTAACGCACCAGCCGAGCCTCAGACACTTTGGCATCCACAGCTGGTCCAACTCAACGATGCTCTTCCAGTGCCAGCTCACCTTTTCACACAGAGATCAGACTGGAAGTTTTCACCAGAAGCAGAACTTGAACGCTGTGAGTTGGTACCGTCAGCTGAGCCTGAGCACCTGAGCACATCGGCAGAGACTGCGTGGGTCCAGGAAGGAGAAGATGTAGAGGCAGAGGACTCTGGGCAGCAGGCAGCTGAAGTCTGCAGCCTGCAGGGGCAGCCGTCGGCTCACGCTGACACTCAGGAACCGGAGCTGCTCCACAGCACAGCTCAGAACAGAGTCGTGCAGCACGGCCTTCCTCTGGCTGTCGGACCACCTGAGGAACTGCAGAGACGCCGCTGTGATCCACACTCAACACAACAATAGGCCTTTCCTGCTGCAACTCACCCACTTTGCTATGAGCTGTCGCCTCTCTTCAAACACCTGAGGAGCAAAACACATGAAAAGCTTATGAATAGTTAGTATCTTACCTGTTGTTCAATTCAATTCAATTCAATAATACTTTATTAATCCCAAAGGGAAATTATTTTGTTGTTGTAACTCGTTATCCTCATTTCATTAAAGATGTTATAGATACTGATGGCTGTAGACAGGAAGGATCTCTTGTAAAGGTCCATCCCACAGTGGATCCTAAGTAACTGGCTGCAGATGCCCTCCGATCCGTCCACCAAGAATCGGTTGGCCTCTCGGTTCCCTTGGACTGTAGGACCGCTTGAATGCTTGGCAGAACTCCTCCCAGAGCGATGGCCACTCCTCCCAGCAGTCTGCCGAGCTCCTCGTAGCTGTGGACAGTCAACTGTAGGTGCTGAGGGATGATCCTGTCCTTCCGCTGTCATGAGTCGTGTTTCCTGCTCAGGATCTCAGTGGTCAGGCACTCGAGCACAGCTGGTAGGTAGATGAGAATGCGTCCACAGAACATCCTTTTCAACTCATCTGAGAGTTGGAGCCATAGCTGAGATATTATTTGAGCTTTTGAGATGTTAATCAGCTGCTGTTGTAGAAAACTGCCTTGTTGCCATGGTTACGCATCATAACAAATGTCCAAAACCAAAAAAGTTTCAGTAAAAATCCTTCCAGCTGCACAGCATCTGATACCAGAGGAAACAATCATCCAAAAAATGTGATTTACATCCAGAAAAACAGGAATTAAAGTTTCCAAAAGCAAAATCTCAGAATGAAAGTAACAGAGCTGCTCCAACATGCAGCCACCTTGAGCGGCGCAATTCTAGAACTTCTAGAAATTCTAGAACTGTTGATTCCTCTTTTAAAAGCCTGTTTAGAGAAATGCACTTTATTTCTGAGCTAACAGCTAATCAGATCTGTTGTCTTAAAACGAGTTCAGTCTCCAAACTTTTATAAACTTTTACAGCACAGTCGAGCTCACATTAAATATTTACACAGAATTTTACAGCGCACACATTCAAAGCAAATGTTTCCATCTTAAAACAACTTGAAGCTTCAAAATTTCATAACCATATGTAAATGTGTATTTTTGAACCTTTACATATCTGTCTGCTTTACACATGTTTCCTAATAAAAATGTAAAGTTCTGCAGGAAATGCTAAAGCTAGCTGACAGTGTCTGTATTTGCACTCACATTATGTAAAGGCGTCATAACGATCAATGAAACGAAGATCGCACAAACCACGATGGCATTTAATAGATTAGAGCTGATTATGTGTTCAGACTAGCCATTAGCTCATCAGTCCTGTCAGAATTAAACTGTTTTTCCAAAGTATGTTCAAAAAGCTATCTACAGTAGGTAAGAGGTAGGTACAGTAGGTAAGGTTCATAATGTTTCACAAAAAGTGTGTTTTTAAGAGATCAAACTCTTGTGTTAGTGTTTCTGCTGAAACAGTTTTCAGTGGATGGAAAAGGATTAATGTGACAGAAACAGACACAATCAGGCAGTGAACAGCTCGAATGTGGAACGCTGAAATGTTTTCAGGGTGATCTTTGTTTCACATCTCTGTTTTTATTTAACTATGTTTATTTAAAAAGTCCAACATTTTATCCAGAGGAGTGTACACCCCAATGATGAGACAAATAAATGGACTCGATGTTCCCTCGCCCGGACGTGGGTCACCGGGGCCCCACTCTGGAGCCAGGTCTAGAGGTGGGGCACGTGGGCGAGTGCGAGGTGGCCGGGCGTTTATCCATGGAGCTCGGCCGGGCACAGCCCAAAGAGGAGAGGTGGGTCCCCCTTCCCATGGGCTGTGGGAGGGGCCAAAGGGGGCGGGTACAATGTGGGATGGGTGGTGGCCAACGGCGGGGACCCTGGCGGTCTGATCCACGGCTACAGAATCTGGCTATTGGGACGTGGAATGTCACCTCACTGGTGGGGAAAGAGCCTGAGCTGATGTTTGAGGTTGAGAGGTTTCGGCTAGAAATAGTCAGACTCACCTGAACACATGGCTCTGGCTCTGGAACCAGTTTCCTTGAGAGGTGCTGGACACTCTTCCACTCTGGAGTTGCCCCTGGTGAGAGGCGCCGAACAGGAGTGGGCATACTTATTGCCCCCCATGTCTGTGCCTGTGAGTTGGGGTTCACCCCGGTGAATGAGAGGGTGGCCTCCCTCCGCCTACGTGTGGGGGGACGGGTTCTGACTGTCGTTTTTGCTTATGCACCAAACAGCAGTTCAGATTAACCGCCCTTTTTGGAGTCCTTGGAGGGGGTACTGGAAAGTGCACCTCCTGGGGACTCCCTTGTTCTGCTGGGGGACTTCAATGCTCACGTGGGCAATGACAGTGAGACCTGGAGGGGTGTGGTTGGGAGGAATGGCCCCCCTGATCTGAACCCGAGTGGTGTTCTGTTGTTGGACTTCTGTGCTCGTCATGGATTGGCCATAAAGAACACCATGTTCAAGCATAAGGGTGTCCATATGTGCTCTTGGCACCAGGACACCTTAGGCCGCAGTTCGATGATCGACTTTGTCGTTGTCTCATCTGATCTGCGGCCACATGTCTTGGACACTCGGGTGAAGAGGGGCTGGAGCTGTCCACTGATCACTACCTGGTGGTGAGTTGGCTCCGATGGTGGGGAAGGATGCCGGTCAGACCTGGCAGGCCCAAACGTATTATGAGGATTAATTGGGAACGTCTGGCAGAGTCTACTGTGAGACGGAGCTTTAAGTCTCACCTTCGGGAGAACTTTGAACATGTTCCGGGGGAGGTGGGGGACATTGAGTCCGAGTGGGCCATGTTCCGTGCCTCTATTGTCGAGGTGGCTTACCGGAGCTGCAGCCGCAAGGTTGTCGGTGCCTGTTGCGGCAGCAACCCTCGAACCCGTTGGTGGACACCGGCAGTAAGGGATGCTGTCAGGCTGAAGAAGGAGTCCTATCGGGCCTTTTTGGCATGTGGGACCCCGGAAGTAGCTGATGGGTACCAGCAGTCCAAGCGACATGCGACTCGGGTGGTCGCTGAGGCAAAAACTCGGGCATGGGAGGAGTTCGGAGAGGCCAAGGAGAATGACTTCCGCATGGCTTCGAGGCGATTCTGGTTCACCATCCGGCGTCTCAGGGGGGGAAAGCAGTACACCACCAACACAGTTTATAGTGGGGGTGGTGTGCTGCTGACCTTAACTTGGGATGTCATGGGTCGGTGGGCGGAATACTTTGAAGACCTCCTCAATCCCATCGGCACGTCTTTCACTGAAGTGCCTGGGGACTCTGGGTCGGGCCCTCCAATTTCTGGTGCTGAGGTCACCGAGGTGGTTAAAAAGCTCCTCGGTGGCAGGGCCCTAGGGGTGGATGAGATTCGCCCGGAGTTCCTTAAGGATCTGGATGTTGTAGGGTTGTGTTGGCTTATGCAACTCTGCAATATTGAGTGGACATCGGGAGAAGTTCCCCTGGATTGGCAGACCGGGGTGATGGTCCCCCTATTCAAAAAGGGGGACCGTAGAGTGTGTTCCAACTACAGGGGCTCACACTCTTAAGCCTCCCTCGTAAGGTCTATTCGGGGGTTCTGGAGAGGAGGGTCCATTGGATAGTCGAACCTCGGATTCAGGAGGAGTAGTGCGGTTTTTGTCCTGGTCGTGGAACATTGGACCAGCTCTACACTCTCAGCAGGGTCCTGGAGGGTGCATGGGAGTTTGCCCAACTGGTCTACATGTGCTTTGTGGACTTGGAGAAGGCGTTCGACCGCATCCCTCGGGGAACCCTGTGGGAGGTACTCTGGGAGTATGGGGTACCGGGCCCTTTGATATGGGCTGTTAGGTCCCTGTATGACCGGTGTCAGAGCCTGGTCCGCATTGCCGGCAGTAAGTCGGGCTCGTTCCTGGTGAGAGTTGGACTCCGCCAAGGTTGCTCTTTGTCACTGATTCTGTTCATAACTTTTATGGACAGAATTTCTTGGTGCAGCCAAGGTGTTGAGGGGATCCGTTTTGGTGGCCTTAGGATTGCGTCTCTGCTTTTTGCAGATGATGTGGTCCTATTGGCTTCATCAGATCGCGATCTACAGCTTTCGCTGGAGCGGTTCACAGCCAAGTGCAACACAGCCAGGATGAAGATCAGTTCCTCCAAATCCGAGGCCATGGGCTTGAGCCGTAATGGAGCGTGAGATCGATAGGCAGAGAGGTGCAGCGTCTGCAGTGAAGCAGGTGCTGTACACGTCTGTTGTGGTGAAGAGAGAGCTGAGTCAAAAGGCGAAGCTCTCAATTTACTGATCGATCTACTTTCCTACCCTCATCTATGATCATGAGCTTTGGGTTGTGAATGAAAGAATGAGATCACGGATACAAGCGACCAAAATGAGTTTTCTCTGCAGGGTGTCTGGGCTCTCCCTTAGAGATAGGTCATCCGGGAGGGACTCAGAGTAGAGCCGCTGCTTCTCCACGTCGAGAAGAGCCAGTTGAGGTGGCTTGGGCATCTGTTTAGGATGCCTCCTGGACGCCTCCCTGGTGAGGTGTTCCGGACACGTCCCACCGGGAGGAGGCCCAGAGGAATACCCAGGACACGCTGGAGGGACTATGTTTCTCAGCTGGCCTGGGAACGCCTCGGGATTCCCCCAGAGGAGCTGGATCAAGTGGCTGGGGAGAGGGAAGTCTGGGCCTCCCTACTTAAGCTGCTACCCCTGCGACCCGACCCCGGATAAGCATAAGAAAATGGATTTATGGATGGATGGAGTGTTTCTATCTACAACACATCTGGTCAGTTCAGTAAAAAAAATTAATGAATGCCTTCAATATAACCACAACTGATGGAGCAAATAGGAACAAGCTTTTCTCTGTTCATGCTTTCAGAACCAGCAGATCTGGACCTGGCTGTTGTTCAACGGGTGGTTCAGGGGGGTCCAAGCGCTCCGGTTGGTCTCCAGCTTGGCATTGTTCGAAGGTCTTTTAGTGAGTGGCATCTTCAAATGGCTGGAGGGACAAACGAAGACACAGAGTGAGCTGAACTGTTTAATACTGTCAGTCAGATCAAGATCTTGATGCCAACAAATTAACTTTACAGCATCAGTCATTCATCATTGCAGAAGGTTAGCATTCTGAAATATTATTTTTTAGTTTACAATGAAGCGTAACTCTTGAGTCACCTCAAATTTCATTGTTTTACTTTAAAACAAATCTAATTTTGTCATTTTAATTTAATTTAAGGGACTTTGCTTTAAAACTAACAATTCCTTAAAAATCTGTCTTGGGGCAGCTGTGGCTGAGTGGTTGGAGCAGAAGAGTTGGGGGTTTGATTCCACCAGCAGTCACATGTTGAAGTGTCCCTGGGCAAGACACTGAACCCCTCATTACCTCTGATGTGTGTCCATCTGTGCATGAATGTGATAAAGCTCTGATTAGTCTCTACAGATTCAGATTATCTTTGTAGCCACAGTCATCCATGTTTATTGTTCTTGTTGTACTGATAAACATTTAGAAAATGTATGTTTTGTACAGACTGGTTTATTATTAGTTATGGACTTGAACTGGATATGAATTATATTATTTTTTGTTTTTAATTCTGCATATATTATTCTCTCAATTGTTGTGCATGTAGTGTGTCAGACACCTGTCTGTCTGTCTGAATGTAGTAGTATGTGTAGAAAATGTAGTAGTACAGGTAGTAGTACAGGTTGTACTACAGTAAATGCTGCTGCCAGTGTCTTAACTGGAGTTTGTGGGAGAGATTATATTTCTCCAGTTTTAGCTTATCTCCATTGGCTCCCTGTCAAATCCAGAATAGAATTCAAAATCTTACCACTAACCTACAAAGCTCTCAACAACCTAGCTCCATTATTGTTCCAAATTTTCCTAACAGAGCACTTTACTCTCAGACTGCAGGTTTACTTGTGGTTCCTAGAGTTTCCAAAAGCAGAATGGGAGGCAGATCTTTCAGTTCTCAGGCTCCTCTCTTGTGGAACCAACTTCCAGTTTCTGTCCATGAGGCTGACACATTGTTCAGTTTTAAGACTTTCCTTTTTGATAAATCCTATAGTTAGGATTGGCTTGTTATGCTGCTATAGACTTAGACTACTAGAGGACAAATGGACCTGATTTTTCCTTAAATGAATTGTTAAAATTGAATAGTTTTCATTTGATACTATTTCTATCTTAACATGTGATTCTCGACCTGCCATTGTGTATCTGTTCCTCTCAAACCCAGCCGGTCGAAGCAGATGGTCCTCTTGTCCTGATCCTGGTTCTGCTAAAGGTTTCTTCCTCATGAGGGAGTTTTTCTTTCCACTGTCACCTTCATACTTGCTCAAGATGAGAGTTCTGAGATGGAGTTAAACTCAAAGCTGCTCCTCAGATAAATAATGTTCCATTATTATTTTATATATGAATCTTTCTGTTCAGTGCCCTGAGACGACTTCTGTTGTGACTTGGCTCTTTATAAATAAACTGAACTGAATTGAATTGAATAGTAGGACAGGTTGTACAGATGAAGATAATTAAAAATGACTATTCTTTTGTTCCAGATTGACACATTTCTTCCTTAAACACTCTGTTTAATTCTAAAGGATTGTAGTCTAAATATTCCAGCTTATTTATTCCTTTAATTCAGTTTATTGTTCATATTTGATTAATTAACCTGTTTTAACCTAACTTAATTAATTAACATAATTACACTATTGTTACATCAGAGTATGGTTTAAATGTTAGCTAACAGCCAAAGCTGTGGTAGTTTGATCTAACTGACATGAGCAGAGATTCATTAAATGGACGATCTGCAACAAACGTGGCAGCGTTCAAACTTCAAACCACTCTTTGTTTTATTTACACTCACAACAGCTCCAGCTTCAGTTGTTGTATCTGATAAAAACAGCAGAAGAAGAATACTGCAGTCTGCAGCGACAGCCTCACACTCACCTGCAGTTCTCCTCGTCCAGCCGACGCTCCTGGACACACTTCATGCCTTCATCTTCCGACTGGACCTTTGTGTCGAACCTCTCCACACGTCTCTGGGCACTGCTGACCCGTCTCCATGGTAACAGGCACAGTTGACCTGCCTCCATGGTAACAGTAGACGCTCCTTACATGGCCCGGCCGCCTCGGTCTGTCCCGTGCAGTGGGGCAGGGTGTGCAGTGTGCAGCCACAGACTGCTGATGATCAACAGGCTTGCTCTCACAACACCAGTCAGGTTTTTGAAAAAAGCACAGTACAACTGCTGCTCTTAAACTGGTAAGTGACTTTATAGATGCACTAGATGGCCAACAATAGTGCAAGTCTTTTTGTTGACCTTTCTAAAGCGGTGGACACTGTAGATCATCATCTCGATGAATCGACTCTACAAAAGTGAGTTCTGCTCAGTCTATTAAGGGGCGGCTGTGGCTGAGTGGTTAGAGCAGTCGTCCTTCAATGCAAGAGTTGGGGGTTCAAATCCACCAGCAGTCACATGCCGAAGTGTCCCTGGGCAAGACACTGAACCCCTCATAGCCTCTGATGTGTGTCCATCAGTGCATGAATGTGATAAAGCTCTGATTAGTCTCTTTAGAATGATTTGTTCAATTATCTTTGTAGAGATCTAGTATAGAGCTGTATGAATGGGTAAATGAGGACACAGATTGTTGTAAAGCACTTCGAGTGTCTTGAAATAAGATAGAAATGTGCTGTATAAGTACAGTCCATTTACCATTTATCATACAGCAAAATGTCCCTCTTTGACTGATCGCAGACTTTCTCCCTTGTTGGTTTTCATCTATAAATGCATCCTTGGGCATCTTCCTACATATTTATGTTCACTTTTATCTAGAACTTTCAACCAGTGTAGCCTGTGCTCTCAAGACATCATTTTGATGCAGGTCCCAAAGGTCAGAACTGAACTGGATAAAAAACTTTTAAACATTTCGCCCCTGCCACTTGGAATGTTCTGCAGAAGGATGCAAAGTTATCATCTCTTGTTACGTTGTGGCAAATTAAATCAATTCTAAAGGAAGGAGAGATCAGATCACTTGGCTCCTGGAACTGCCCGAATGTGTAATTATGTGATTTCTCTTGGGTATGTAAGTTGTGTATTTGGTCTTGTATTGTGTATGTTTTATGCTGCTGTCCTGGACAGGTCACTCTTGGAAAAGAGGTTTTCAATCTGAACGAGTTATTTTCCTGGTTACATATGGTAAATGGTAAATGGACTGTACTTATATATCACCTTTCTATCTTATCGAGATTCTCAAAGCTCTTTACTACAATCTGTGCCTCATTTACCCATTCATCCAGCTCTATACTAGATCTCTACAAAGATAAATGAACAAATCATTCTAAAGAGACTAATCAGAGTTTTATCACATTCATACACTGATGGGACACACATCAGAGGTAGTGAGGGGTTCAGTGTCTTGCCCAGGGACACTTCAGCATGTGACTGCTGGTGGATTAGAACCCCCAACTCTTGCATTGGAGGACAACTGCTCTAACCACTCAGCCACAGCTGCCTCACAAATAAAGGATACATACATGATCATTTTGATATTTTCCTAACAGAGCACTTCATGTTTTGATTGAACAGACTGGCAGGTTTTCAGAGAAGCTGCTGAAAATGGAGGATCGCTTGATCTTGACCAATACACATCCTCAGTTCTGGGTTACATTAGTACATGTACTGACACAGTCTCCACTATCAGAAATGTTAAAAGCTACCCAAACAGAAAACCTTGGCTGAATGCAGAGGTGCGTACCCTGCTGGAAGCCAGGAACACTGCCTTCAGGCCTGGAAATTCAGAGGAGCTGAGTAGGACAAGAAAAGAGCTGGTTGCTGGTATTAAGAGGGCCAAGGCCACATATGCAAAGAGGATCGAGGGTCAATTCATCTCACAAGACCCTCGGAGCATGTGGAGGGGCATTAAGTGCATAACAGATTATAAAGGAAGGAGTGAACAATGCCCCAAAGACCCATCTCTGCCTGATGCCCTCAACAAGTTCTATGCACGCTTTGACGACCCGAACAGACCACCCAGCACCAGACTCACCTCACCACCGGATGAAGAGCATCTCAGCGTGACCTCAGCAGAAGTAAGGAGTACCTTCACGAGGATTAATCTGCACAAAGCAACTGGCCCAGACAACATCCCCGGAAAAGTGTTGAAGGAATGTGCTGATCAGCTCTGTGAGGTGCTGGCAGACATCTTTAACACCTCGCTTACCCTGGAGACAGTTCCCACCTGCCTGAAGACTGCCACCATCATCCCAGTCCCAAAAAGCTCTACAGTGACTGGTCTGAATGACTATCGGCCAGTGGCCCTCACCCCGATAGTCGCTAAATGCTTCGAAAAACTGGTCATGACTCACATCAAAACAACAATCAACATCAACGAGGACCCTCATCAGTATGCATACTGTGAGAACCGATCAACAGAGGATGCAATCTCCTCTGTGGTCCACACTGCACTCAACCACCTGGAGCAGAAAAACTCTTACGTCCGTATGCTCTTTGTGGACTTCACATCCGCCTTCAACACCATGATCCCCCAAACCCTGGTGGACAAACTATCCACACTAGGACTAAGCCCCTCCATCTGCAACTGGGTACTAGACTTTTTAACAAACAGACCACAGTTAGTGAGGATCCACAACCTCTCCTCCTCCACCATAACCCTCAGCACTGGCTCTCCTCAGGGATGTGTGTTGAGCCCCCTCCTGTTTACTCTGCTCACATATGATTGTGCAGCTACCCATCCAGGCTGTCACATTGTAAAGTTTGCAGATGATACAGCGGTGGTGGGATGCATCACAAACAATGATGAGTCCAGCTACAGGCAAGAGGTGGAACACCTGGAGAGCTGGTGCAGAGAGAATAACCTTCACATCAATGTGAAGAAGACAAAGGAGATGATTGTGGACTTCAGAAGGAACAAAAACACCTACACCCCCCTGAACATAAGAGGATCTGCGGTGGAAGTGGTCTCCAGCTACAAGTACTTGGGTGTACACATGAATGACAACCTCAGCTGGAGCAACAACACCACCAGCCTGATCAAGAAAGCTCATCAGAGACTCTACTTCCTCAGACGGCTGAGGCGAGCTGGTCTGGGAAGCTCAGTCCTCACCTCCTTGTACAGGTGTGCAGTGGAGAGCATCCTGTGCTCCAGCATCAATGTGTGGCATGGAGGCTGCACAGCTGCAGAAAGAAAAGCTTTGCAGAGAGTGGTGAAGGCTGCACAGAAATCTGTTGGAATCAGCCTCCCCACCATCACAGACATCTACACCTCCAGATGCAGGAAGAGGGCCACCTGCATCATGAAGGACCCCACCCACCCAGCACACACACTTTTTGCCCCACTCCCCTCAGGAAGGAGGTTAAGGAGCATTAAGTGTAGAACCACTAGACTGAGGAACAGCTTCTACCCTGAGGCTGTTAGACTCATGAATCTCTAACTAGAATAATCACTGTGAAAAACCATATCATGTTGCTGCTGATCTGTTTCATGTTGCTGCTGATCTGTTTCATGTTGCTGCTGATCTGTTTCAATGTTGATGTGTTCATGCGTGCACATCTGCTCACAGACTCATGTTCATGTTTGTGCTGATGTTCAATGTTTTATGTTATGAGTGCTTAGTGTATATTTAGTTGATGTTTTTCTTAGTTCATATCTAGTGAAAATTGTGGTCAGTTTGTCCTCCAGCAGTCTAAGCCTATAGCAGCATAACTAAGGGACAGCTCAGGAAACCCAAGCCGACCCTAACTTTTAAAAGAGAGTTTTTCTTTCCACTGTTGCCACTGTGCTTGCTCAGGATGGGAGACTGTAACGAAGCCAAGATTCAACTTGTCTGCTGGATTCCTTAGATAGAGAACTTTACTAACTGGCTTTTATGTGAATGTTCCTGTAAAGTGCCCTGAGACAACTTTGTTGTGATTTGGAGCTATATAAATAAACTGAACTGAATTGAGTGTCTCTCTGCTGTCACCCAGAGTGCAGACTGTGCACACCCAGATTCTCATTGACTTCTACTGTGTCTGAGTTCAGGAGCTTCTGTTGCAAACAGGAAGTGAAGGCTCTTAGCTCATCATTTCTCCTGCATAAAACTCTAGAAGTAACATTTGTCAGAGGTGCTCGTATGCTTCTGACACAGTTTAGGAACATTTGTCAACATGTAGTTTCCACACAGTAACCGTTTATCTGAGGCTTACTTTCTAGTCTGCATTTCTGTCTGCCTTTGCAGTATTAACATGATCGATATTGTTGCTGATTGTAGGAGCTTGCTATTCACAGCTGGTTGCAGCAGCAGGGCGGATATAAACTTGTCTGCATTAAAGCTGCAGCTGGAGGCCTTTGTTGTTGTTGTTGTTTGTTGTTGTTGTTGTTGTTTGTTGTTGAAACGCTCGGACCTTCGGTCAGAGAGATGACGCGAACAGCCAAAGAGCCTCGAAGACCAAACCTGCAGAGATGAGGCGCGAGCAGCGTCAAACTGACGCACGTAACCGGAAACAGGACGATGAGACGTTAAGAGAATAAAAGTTGGCTTTTCAGAAAATCAAAGTATAAAATAAAAATATTAAAACTGTTTAAAAAATATTTCCCAGAGGAAAACACAAATATTTTCAAAGCTCACCTGATTAATTCTTTCAAATTAAAAAAAGCTTGAAGTAAAGCCTCAGGAGATTTTTAATAGATATTTATTTGTTTTATTTCCTGGATGAGTCTTCACCAGTTTATTGCATTAAATGAATATAAAAATAAAATTTTTAGGAAGCTAATGTTTGTTAGCAGCAAGAAGTTGTCCATCTACAGTTTTCCTTTATGTCTACAGAAATGTTGCGGGGACACTTTCACAATCAGTAATAAATAAAGGAGCAAACATTCTGTAACAAAATTAAATGCAGACTTTCAGGTCAGAGTGGAACTGAAATGTTCTTGTGTTGTGAAGTTTTTGCTGTTTCGCTCAAAGTTCTGATGCACCTCGTGTGACGTGCACGTGCTCAGAGCATATTCTGAGAATAACTCTCAGCTACTGTACAACCAGAGTCAAGTTTTAAACTGACTGAGGTCAAATCATTATTGTGATCCCAATAGTCAGCTGGCTTTGGTGGCCATCTTGAATTGGATGGACTCCAAATGTTAATGAGCTGCTGTACGTCCACCCATTACATTCTGCCAGTTGCAATCAAATATCCAGTGGATAACTGGATATTTTGCTAACAGACAAACACACACAGACATAGGCTAAAACACAATACTCTGGTTTTATTACTGTATTTGTTTTATTAGTTTTGTTTTAAAATATTTTAATTCAGGTTTTATGATTCACATATCAACGTTTTATGATTCACATATGTGAATCAAAAAAAAAAAAAAGGTATGTACTATATAGTACAGCGTACAACATTTATCCCGGCGTCTCTTTGTTAATTACAATGTGTTTTGTCCATTCCCTGTATATATATATATATATATATATATATATATATATATATATATATAT